TGTCAAAATTAAAATTATTGAGACTGTCATGCAAAGGTTTTTTGAATTTGTAAACTTGTAATTAGGCAATCATTTTGGGTATACCTGTTTACAAAAATGTTTTCTTAAAAATCACCATTCAGCTGTGGTAAGTGCATAGTTTGGAATGGCCATAAGTAAATCTTTGTGGGTGTGGAATGCTGGTGAGATTGCACACTGAGACTGTTACAGAGCCTCAGATTCATCATTTTGAATTGTATGGGTCTCAAGTCAGCACAGAGAGGTAACATGCACTACCATGGATTCTCTGAAATATGAAAAGGGCCAATTTATTTGTAGCCCATTTTATCTTTAAAATTTTCTGTATTTGCATTCTATTCTATAACATATTGTATTGATTTTCAATATAATTACTTCAGTGCTTTCCTGTAAATCCTTGATTGAAATTGATGCTCCAGGAAGATGTATCTCATTCATTCAGAGACTTCAGATTTATTCCCCAGCCCACAGCAATTTACTGCTGTGAAAATTACATCTTGAGAAGTTAAAAAATGAAAGGTGGTAGTTGGCAATTATGCTACCCTGACCACAAGACATGATCTGGAAGAGTCAGTGATGTGGCTTATTTATCTCTTTGCTTAATGAGGTCTTGATTAATCCTTAAAACTAGCTGATTATCTTCCTATTTTAATGCCCTGCTTGAATTCCATCTTCTCCAAAACTCTTTCCTCAATTTATCTCTTTTTTATTCTATATGCTTTCAGTATTTTGTAATTTCTATGTATAATGTTTACCATACTACTCCTTCATTATGAAATTACCTATACCTGTCTTCTTTTTGCCAGCTGGCAAAAATCATGCTTTTTCTTTATATCCCTGACAGCACCAAGCACAATGTGCTTAGAAGTTAAGCTGTGTGTGTGTGTAAATGTATGTCTGTGAGGAATGTGTGTGGGTGTATTATTTTTACTGTTAATTGCCTGTATTTCCAATCTTGTTATGGAATTCTGAACTTGAGTGGGATTTTAAATCCTGTGTTGTCACAATCATAACATCATCTGGTATTTTTTTACCCTAATTTGATCATCAATATAATAAAAATATAATGACACCATTCAAAACTTGAGCATATATTTCCTTTACATTTTTTTCTGTCTTATAGATATTTAGGAATCATCAGAGATGATGAAATTCCCTTAAAGTCTCTATTAATCACCTCAAACCCATCCCAAAATAACATTGATAGGGGCAATTGGCATTTTCCTCAATATAAAACTTTAAATCAAATAACCTTCAGAAAACTTTGTAATGTATTGACCTATAACAGCATGCTTACCAAAGTCCATGAAAGTAGGGCCTTTCTCACCTATGTATACCCAATACCTAGAATAATGTCTGAAATTCAGTGATCAAGAAATATTTTATGAATAAATATGCGGAAGACTTGAAGTAAAGTTCCCGAGCCAACCTCCAACTTTATTGCCTTTCTCAAAGCCCCTATATATTCTCCAGCGTTGACTGCATCCACAACACAACAAAGAAAAGATTCAATGACTAATAATACCATCCCACAGGGACGACTGTCCGTTTGTGTTTGAAATCAAGTGATATTCACGTGCTTATTGTATTAATGCAGGTTTCTATGCTTTATTGCCTACTTCTCTATTACATATATGATTGTTAGTTAAATATTTAATTTAGTTCAGTTTCCTCAAATACTTATTAGCAATTGAAACTGATGCATTATAACAATGTGTATCACAAGATGAGTCTGCAATGGGAATTAAAATAGAATGAAAGGCTTTGGAAATGTCTTTTCCCAAATTTCAAAAACAGGTCCCTCCAAACTGCGCAGAATTTGGAGGGTTGCCTAGGAACCAAAGCAAGTAATTCTGTCATGTAAATGAATTTCGTGGTTATAATTATATAGAATGTTGTTCTGAATTTCCTGAGATTAGCAAATAACTAATTATCCCCATATTAGCATTCTCTGTATGAAAAATAAAGTATAGTGTTTCATAATGTAATCATGATGCTTTGATGTTCCCAAATATGGTTCATTAATCTGTGAAGCTGTAAGCCTGCTCACTAATATCAAAGAGATGAAAGCAGATTCATGCAAAAGACTTTTAAGAGTCTTTATTTTCTTAAAATTGCAACATGACCAAACATGCTTTCCAACTGACTATGATCAAAGCCACTAGGATCCTTGGAAAATATTTTCTTAGTTATGAGGATTAAAGGAAAAATGTTTTAAATAACAGCATGGGCAACATTATGTGAAATGATAAGCTTTGAAAACACAAGATATACAGAATTTGAAAAGAAACCAAAAATAGATGCATTTGGTATTCACTCAGGCAAAGTTCAATGAAACTGAAAATGTCCCTTATTCTCCAATTTCAACATATTGTGATAGCTGATGATTCCCCTGAGTTAATGACTGATCCCAGAGGAGAAGCCTTCAAGCCACAGATTTCTTCATTCTATTCACTTCTGAGTGTATAAAATCTCTCTACAATTCCAGAGCCAGTCATTTCCCGTATCTTACAACAGCGACCAGGAGAAGGGACTGACAGGAAAGTTAAAGTTAGAGAGGTCTTAAATATCATTTAAGATATTGCCTATCATATGATAGGCAATATAGATGATTGATAGATAGATGACAGATAGATAGATGATAGATAGATGATAAATATAGATAGATGGATAGATAGATGATAGATCGATAAATGATAGATGATAGAGTCAAACATACACATACTGTTGACTGTCAAAATTAAAATTATTGAGACTGTCATGCAAAGGTTTTTTGAATTTGTAAACTTGTAATTAGGCAATCATTTTGGGTATACCTGTTTACAAAAATGTTTTCTTAAAAATCACCATTCAGCTGTGGTAAGTGCATAGTTTGGAATGGCCATAAGTAAATCTTTGTGGGTGTGGAATGCTGGTGAGATTGCACACTGAGACTGTTACAGAGCCTCAGATTCATCATTTTGAATTGTATGGGTCTCAAGTCAGCACAGAGAGGTAACATGCACTACCATGGATTCTCTGAAATATGAAAAGGGCCAATTTATTTGTAGCCCATTTTATCTTTAAAATTTTCTGTATTTGCATTCTATTCTATAACATATTGTATTGATTTTCAATATAATTACTTCAGTGCTTTCCTGTAAATCCTTGATTGAAATTGATGCTCCAGGAAGATGTATCTCATTCATTCAGAGACTTCAGATTTATTCCCCAGCCCACAGCAATTTACTGCTGTGAAAATTACATCTTGAGAAGTTAAAAAATGAAAGGTGGTAGTTGGCAATTATGCTACCCTGACCACAAGACATGATCTGGAAGAGTCAGTGATGTGGCTTATTTATCTCTTTGCTTAATGAGGTCTTGATTAATCCTTAAAACTAGCTGATTATCTTCCTATTTTAATGCCCTGCTTGAATTCCATCTTCTCCAAAACTCTTTCCTCAATTTATCTCTTTTTTATTCTATATGCTTTCAGTATTTTGTAATTTCTATGTATAATGTTTACCATACTACTCCTTCATTATGAAATTACCTATACCTGTCTTCTTTTTGCCAGCTGGCAAAAATCATGCTTTTTCTTTATATCCCTGACAGCACCAAGCACAATGTGCTTAGAAGTTAAGCTGTGTGTGTGTGTAAATGTATGTCTGTGAGGAATGTGTGTGGGTGTATTATTTTTACTGTTAATTGCCTGTATTTCCAATCTTGTTATGGAATTCTGAACTTGAGTGGGATTTTAAATCCTGTGTTGTCACAATCATAACATCATCTGGTATTTTTTTACCCTAATTTGATCATCAATATAATAAAAATATAATGACAACCATTCAAAACTTGAGCATATATTTCCTTTACATTTTTTTCTGTCTTATAGATATTTAGGAATCATCAGAGATGATGAAATTCCCTTAAAGTCTCTATTAATCACCTCAAACCCATCCCAAAATAACATTGATAGGGGCAATTGGCATTTTCCTCAATATAAAACTTTAAATCAAATAACCTTCAGAAAACTTTGTAATGTATTGACCTATAACAGCATGCTTACCAAAGTCCATGAAAGTAGGGCCTTTCTCACCTATGTATACCCAATACCTAGAATAATGTCTGAAATTCAGTGATCAAGAAATATTTTATGAATAAATATGAGGAAGACTTGAAGTAAAGTTCCCGAGCCAACCTCCAAGTTTATTGCCTTTCTCAAAGCCCCTATATATTCTCAGCGTTGACTGCATCCACAACACAACAAAGAAAAGATTCAATGACTAATAATACCATCCCACAGGGACGACTGTCCGTTTGTGTTTGAAACCAAGTGATATTCACGTGCTTATTGTATTAATGCAGGTTTCTATGCTTTATTGCCTACTTCTCTATTACATATATGATTGTTAGTTAAATATTTAATTTAGTTCAGTTTCCTCAAATACTTATTAGCAATTGAAACTGATGCATTATAACAATGTGTATCACAAGATGAGTCTGCAATGGGAATTAAAATAGAATGAAAGGCTTTGGAAATGTCTTTTCCCAAATTTCAAAAACAGGTCCCTCCAAACTGCGTGGAATTTGGAGGGTTGCCTAGGAACCAAAGCAAGTAATTCTGTCATGTAAATGAATTTCGTGGTTATAATTATATAGAATGTTGTTCTGAATTTCCTGAGATTAGCAAATAACTAATTATCCCCATATTAGCATTCTCTGTACAAACCATTTCAGAAACTATTTTTATTACCATGCACAGAGAAGTATTGGTAAATGATATGTGGATTTTTGTTTTTAAAAGAATTGATGTTACATAGTTGTAAAATTGCAAAGCACCTTTGATTTTTACATAAAAAACAATGGTCTCCATTAAGAAATAGACTGACGTCCTAAGATTTTTAAGTGACTTGCCCAAGATCAAAGAGCTATTAGTAATATAATCTGTAGTACAACTGGTTCTTCTGAATTTAACATTTGGTGTCTCTGCTGCCTTCTAGGATATTTCTGAGTAAGATGAAAGTTCTCCTTCTGATTACAGCCATCTTGGCAGTAATTGTTCATGTCCCAGTAAGTATTCATTTCTATATTCCAAAGTAGTTATGCATTTTTTTGTTCTAATTCATGAATCCTAGGGATTTTTTCTTCCACACACTGTATTCTGCTTTTTAAACATGGCTAACATCTGCACCTTTAACATTACATTCTACAAAATGTTACAAATCACATATTGTTCAGTACATAGTTTAAGTCCACATTGCCTTGGTACAGTGGTGAATTTGAGTCATTTATAATACATATTAATACTTCTCAGAAAAATAGTTCTTACAATATTTCTGGGCACTCAAATCCTGGATTCCTTTGTTAAAATCGAATACCATAAAGCAATATTAGATAGGATACAAATTATTTTCTTATATTCATTTTGTGTGTTTCATTAGCATATGTTGAATTAATTTCACTGTTTGAGCTTTAGGTCTCCCAAGACCAAGGAGAACCATGAAGTGTAAGTTACATTTCCTCTTTTTAACATGTAAGATTGCCATGTGAAATACCCATAACTGTGGTTAAAGATATTCCTCTATTCAAACTTCTCAAAATCTAGAGAAATCCTTAAAGAGTTTAGGTATTAGCACACACAACAGAGTAGACTTCAGGGGTTTGATCTCTGTGCAAGGGAATTATCTCAGCCTAGCAGATCATGTCACCATGGGGCCCAAACTGAAACCTGAATCACTCTGTGATGAACTGGGTTACAATATTTTTACTAGAATTATCAAGCCTGAAAAAGAATCATAACTGCTCACTCCTCCACTCTGCTTAATTCTAAAAAGCTCATTCCAACAAAGGTAAACAAGAAATTAAAACTTGAGTATGAGGAGATGTAGCCATCTTTGATGATCCTGCCAGCAGCAAATTCACTAAAGGATTATTTTGGTCTAAACAGTTAATCAAAAAATGTTTAAGAAAAAATAAAACTTGAAGAAGAATCGTGTTTAGGGATTTGTTTATACTCATAGAAATCTTATTATCTGAAAGAGAAGATGGTTTTGATGTCAAAATTATAAACAAAACTATCAACTATAAAATGCTAAAAATACAGAAATTGATAGGGATATGGATAGATGAGAGCAAAGAGGGAAGAAAGAAAAGAAATGAAGAGGAGACTGTGCCTGACATAAGGTGTGGGTAAAGCCCTTCTAAAAGGCTGAGAGAGATATCTGAGGCACCCTCATCAACCCCTCATCCTTGGTCCTATAGGTATAGAAGTAATTACTAGGAAAATGTGGCTATTAATAGAAAGGTACAAAAACATGGTTATCTCTATTTCCTAAAATTTTCTAAAATGATGCAAATTAATTAAGTGCCTGTTCACAGTACATGTAGGAAAGGTCAATGATCCTAAACCTTCTAAAGCTTCTACTTACAAAGGAAGACCTTCACAAAGAGTAAAACAAGCCTTTGTTATTTCTTTCAACAGATCAGCGGGAGAAATGACTCCCCTTCAGAGCTTTATGTACATCTTTACCAATACCCATTTGAAGCATATCCAGAATTCCTATATCAATGCTAACCATGGTTTAGATACTATTACCTTCCTATTCCAACACCTGTGTCTGTCCCTAAAGCTACCCCTCCTACTGGATAGTCCACAAGAAAGAAAAGTCCCAGTGCAATTTAAGATGAAACAGGTGGTAAATTCACATAGTACAAAGCATGTGTTTTTTAAGGTTTTCATCTGTGGATTATAATGTATCATTCAATAAAAAATGTGTTGTAATGTTCCCACTTATTCCCATAAAGTCGCAGTTTGTTTCAATCTTTTTCTGTCCTAGAATCTATTTGGGTCTCCACTTTACCTGTGTCTTTCTATGATCCAACCAACATAGTAGTTTAAATACCACTTTTACTAGGATGTAATAGAAACAAACCCTTTCATATTAAAATATTTTTTACAAAATACATTTTGACATTTTCTATCAATATCTGAGCATTTTGGAGCCGAATCAGAGGTCTAAAGAAGGCAAAACGTAAGCCAAAATGGAAATCATAATAAATGAACTGTGGATCTAGGGTCCAAGGTAGACTTCCAACTATTCTTAAAAATCATGCATTTTTAAAATTAATATTAAAACTCTAAATCTGGTTTCTAATTTTCATATTACAGCAAAATCCTAAAGGCTTAATATTCCACTTATAATAGAGGCCCCTTTCATCTCATCATATCAAAACAAAGCGATGGTCTGTTAATTTCCAGATGAACTGAGGGAATGTAGAGTATACTTAAAATTACATTAGGATCCAGGCATCTCTTCTAGGAAACAAAAAACTCTGCTAATACTTACCACTAACGATTTCTGCCTTCTTTCCTGTATCTACACAGTTGTCTTGAGCAGAAAATTTCCCAGTCCTTGAACTAGATATACTTTGAGGCATTATTTGTAATTAAAAAGCAAAAAACTTACAAGTTCACAAGCAAATTACCCATTGGGATTAATAACTGTATGCCTATCATTTATTTCAGGTCACTGTAAAATTGAACATGAGTTACTTCTTTGAAGAATCAATATTCTTACTAACAAAATAAAATAAATGCAATTAAAGTAGCATACAGTATTCTTTCATTAATCTGTCATCTTTAGTCCTTTTCAGTAAATATAAAAGAAAAGATCTTGGTTTCCTATTTTTTAAATGTGCATTTCTGTTAGGAATGCAAAATAAATTTGACAGATTTTTAATATTCATTTCTTCATGACTAACCACCCTAGGAGAGTATGGAGTGGAGGTATCCAAAATCAACTGGCTCAGAAGTTTTTTGCATGAAAGTCTACTTAGCAGTTTATGTTGTGTGGTTGCACCGACTGTATTAACAAGAGCCAGAGATGGACGTATTTTAAAAAATTTAAATATTTGATGCTCAATTACTCAGTTGAGTCTGTAATTTATATACTGTGGGATATGAAGCCTGACATATCAGTAAAGGATATCCAAAACAATCAAGTACTGTCTCTAACTTCAAAAAACTGCTAATGAGTGAGGTCCTAAAACTAGCATTTATATCATGCTTGTAGGTTACAAAGTGCTTCTTGAAGAAACTCACGAGCTCACCAAATTTTCACACAATCTCTGTACAGCAGTTACATTTCATATGTGGGCAAACTGACGATCATGATAGTCCTGTGCACCTCCACAGTCACGGAACCTAGAATGCAGGAAAAAGGATACAGAAAGCAGGCCTATCCAACCCCTATGCCTTTGTTTCAGTAACACATATACAAAAGTTTTCTCAGTGTAGGACTCTACAGTGGCTACCAAAGACTAGTTCAGTCTGTTTCACTCTAGTTCAAGTGGGAAAATCAAACCCATGCAAAGAAGAGTCTGCCATCCATCTGCTGCTCTGCTAATCTAGATGCCACACTGCCTCCATAGTTATTTTTCAAAACATATGTTGACATATTTCCCACTTGCTCAAATGCCTTAGGAGGCGTCTTACTGCCCACAGTATAAAATCCACCCCCTGTGCAAGGTATTCCAGGCTTTCTACATGTAAACCCAACTTCTTTCCTCACGTCCCTGCTACCAGCCCAGCCCCTCTCACAGCCCCAGCTGTCACACCAGATTCGTGCCATCTCCCACAACCAGCAGTCACTCTAACACAGCTGTGCCTTTGCCCTTTGTGGTCTTTCTTCACAGAACATCCACTCCCCTATTACACTGGTGAAATTCAAATACCTTTCAAAACCCAAATTCAGTATTATAACCTTCATGAAAACTTTCTCCTGTCTCTCCAAACAGAATCACTCACCACTTCAACTCTCTCACCCTGCATTTTATTTCCACTATTTAATGAGTCTTATTATACTTTTACTTCTAATAAAATAATTTATTTACTTATCTGTATTATTCCTGAGGCAACTGTAAGTTCCTTGACTATCACAATAATATAATGATTCCCCAGAACTTGCTGAGTAGAGAGTACTCTGTGAAAGTTTGATAAATGAGATATAGGAAGAAAACTTTCCAATTCCTATGTTTTTTTAAAAAGAGCTTGTTAGTATCCCTGAGCTATTTCAACATACAAATTAGCAAAAGATTCCTTTTATAGTGAGAGAGAAAAATCTTAAAATCAATATTTAAATGGTAACAGTTCCTTCTTATGCAATTACAACATCAGCACAACAAATTGGGTAACTTTGTGTCTACCTATACTTTGCTATAGAAATTATAGGGCCTCTAAAATGTCAAATCATGAATAAAATTATTTGTCCTAAGACAATGCAAGCATCATAGACTATATCCATACATATGTCTTAAAAGATTTAACATTTGTGTCAGCTAAGGGAAAACCAAGTTCAGAGGCTTTTAGTTTATCAAGGATATATTCTCTTGCATATAAAGTACATGCACACAGCTCAATGAACTTTATTGAGGAACAGTTTATCTCAATCATCAGTTCCCGTAAATCCCATGATGAACATTCTAGAAACAAACCCCTGAAGGAGGAAAAGGCAGTGGTGATGAAAATAAACTTCCCTGCAATATATAACAAAAGACATTCAAGAAGATTCTGCTTGCACAATGAGCCTTTCATTGTGTCACAATGGCAGCTTTTATCCCCACAGGTAATTTATCAGGAAATTAGAAAAATTTTCTTTGAACAAAGATTACGTTTCTCCAACCCAAGTTTAAATTGTTCCTAGCTGACACCCTTACCATCAATGAGGGAAATTCTGTCATGATGCATAAGCTGGCTACAAATCAAGGTCAGCCTAATGAGCCTCTTGGCATGACTTGAGCAGGGAAACTGCTATCTCCCCTGGCCATTTTCAGGGATTAGAGTTTTCTCAAACATTAAATTTCATTTTTTGGTATTAAAGTCAGTGATACCAGTTAATATGGGAGGGACAGCAAGAGGACCAAACTGTCCTCAATATAATTTGGTAAATTAATTTTATAGGGATTGTTTTCCAGCTTTCCAGATAAAACTGGGACAGTTTAGGAGGCCATTGCATGACTAAGGAAAGGCAGTCATGAGAAACCAAGCTGCAGGGGTATAAAGAGGGTAAGGCAGGGCCCTGAAGAGAGGCTAACAGCAAAGACTGGCTGCTCTAAAGTGTGGGAGGGCCAGCTCTGTAACTTACTGTCTTCCTTTTGGTGGTGGTGGTGTGTGTGTGTGCGTGTGTGTGTGTGTGTGTGTGTGTGTGTGTGTGTGTGTTTACGTCTTTGATATTTCTCAAATTAGAACTTTTATTTTATTCACCTCAAATTATTGTATTGGAATTTTCTGAGTAAGAAAAAGACACTGTTATTTACCTTTAACTACTAAATATGTGAAGCAAATATATTCTATTAAAGTTAGTTATTCCCCCAGTGAATTTGGGCAACATCATTCCTTGTCCTGACACCTTTGATTATTGTGATTGGTGAGCTAGTTTCCCAATAAGGGTGTCAACCAAACTTCCAGTTTCTTTTGTAATCTAATGTTGGCCTCTAGGGATAGGATCACAAAGACACTGTTTCCAAAAGTGCATTTCTTAAAGTATTAATCTCACCAGATGACCCAAAATATAAATAAAATTTACAGTATACACACACATCATAAGATTCTTCAAAGTACCCCTTTTAAAAATCATTTTGCTTAACTACACTTCCAAACTAAACTGACCATCGAATGAGCTCCCTCTCATCTAAAACAGTTGATAAAATTAGTATGCCCCTGCACACACTAATATATTTTAAAATCTAGTATATTAGGTGCCACATTCATGTGGAGTTTGTATACTAATTATTGAAAGAGACTTTCACAGAAAAGTAAAAAGCAAACTAAATTCATCTCTACTATTCTGTTAGTTGCCTGGGGAGAAGACTCACATGTCCCCTATAGAATCTTTCAGGTTTTACTCATTCACTAAAAGAATAAATATTTATTTTGTGTTAATTATTGTGCTAAATGTTCAGGACTTAGACAAAAGGATTTTTTCACCTCTAAGAATCTTGCAGTCTAATGAAGGGGATATAAATACATAAAATTTGAAGAAATGTAATAAATACTCCAATAAAGTATTCACAGAGTTTGGTTTTTGTTTGTTTTTAAAGCAGAAGGGAAACTAGCTCTGCCTACACAAATTAGGAAAAGCCCCACGTGTGACTTTTGACTGAAACTTACAAGGATAAATAGGTACTGGCAAGTAAATAAATACAAATTAGATGTTCAATAGATGTTTACTGGGTGGATAAACTCTATACTCAAATTGATATTTTTAATGACATTTAGCTTCATTGGGTAGAGTTAGAGTAAAAGGTGAGAATAAAATAATTTAGAACCTATTTCTAATAAACATACAAATGAATATGTCAAGTTCTCTTAACCATAGATATAACCTCTGACTTGAGAAGCCAAAGAGAAGGTAATAAATATCTTAGTAATATTTTTTATTAAGGTATCATTGATATACACTCTTATGAAGGTTTCACATGAAAAACAATGGGGTTACTACATTCACCCATATTATCAAGTCCCCCCATGCCCGGTTTTTATTCAATACATACATTCCTGTTAATTTTTCACATAGATATAGAAAACAAATTTCACTTGATGAGTTGTTTCCTTATGTGAATGTAGGAGATGGTCTCTTTCCAGAACTCTGTATGAATTCAATAATACCCAGGCACAGTTGAAACTTCTGGCCAAGTTGGGTCGAACCAAGGTAGCTAAAGGCAGTTAATAACAGAACAAGATGAAAAGCAAGGCACTGACAACTGAAGAATTCCTCCCTCCAATACTCAAGAATGCTTCTAGTTTCTCTCAACTATCCAAGACTTTAGAAGGGGAGTGAAACAAGCCTAGAAGGCCACACTGAAGTCGAGCTGCAATCACTCCAAGAAGAGCCCAGCTCCCCCAACAGTTAGGGGAAGTCAGTTCTAAAGCTCTCACAAGAAAACCAATCCCAGAAAACTCTGTTTCTTATCCATACATACTAGCTCTTCAGTGAAATAAATTAGAATTTCAGTGGAAACAGGTAATATTCCTGTCCACTCTAGTTCTTCATAACCAGGTTCTGACTTTGTCCAGAAGAAAGTGGTGATTCCCAAACTTGTCTGCATAAAAATTATTTAGGTGCTTATTAAAAATTATTTAGGTTTATCTCCAGGCATATTCCTCCTCTAAAAATTCTGACTCAGTAATGTGCAGGAAGGCAAGAATTGTCTATTTAAATAGTCCAGATAATTAATCTCTTGGGCAACAAACATTAAAGTGTCTAGTATGTGCCAGGTGTATGTAGGTCTATGCACTGGAGAACATATCTTCCAGTGGGAGAAGATAGAGAATAGTAAATGAACATTTACTATTGTGATGATGGAAAGGAAATGATTATTTAGAAAATGTGCCAAGGAAAGTATTTCTGAGAAGACATTTGAACTGAAACTTGAATAATGCAGAGGGGACACTACTAAGAAGGACTGCAGTATGAACATTTTGGAGACTGATCACAAGTGAAAAGTTCCTGACTTGGGAAAGAGTTTGGCACCTTCTAGGGACAGAAAAGTCATTGAAGCTGGCACATTATCAGAAAAATAGTGGTAGAAAGTAAGGTAAGAAGGATACAGAGAAAATAAATCATATAGAAACTATCAAATAGGCCTATCACATAGGCCCTGATAAAATGCTTAGAATTTATTCTAAGTGCTATAGAAAGCCAGTAAAGGATTTTAAGCATGAGAATAATCATATCATAAAAGTGTTCAAAAATCTTAAAAATTAAAAATATAACTTTGTGAAGAATGTTGGCAAGGTGACAAGAGTGAAAGTAGGAGACCAGACAGAGGACTATCAGGGGTGGTCAAGTGTGAGATGTGAGGGACTGGCCAGGGTAATACGTGGAGACTAGAAAGTGCAGACAGATTGAAGGTATGTTGTTAAGAGAGGACATATAATTCTTCTAATGGAATGTTGAGGAGGGACAAAAGATGACCCACAGGATTTCCTCGTTAACCACAGCAACGTCATGGTGTCATCTGATAAAGAGGAAAAGACAAGTGGAGGACTTGGTGGAGAAAAGGGATCAAACACTCTGTTTTCCTCATGGTAAACTTGGGATGCCTATTTCACATAAACAGATGTTAAAACAACTCATGGATACTTGAATTTATAGTTCAGTGAAGTTAATAGAATGTAGATCGTACTTAAGGCTGTAAGAATGGTGCAGGTCAACTATAATGATACTAAAGATAGAAAGGGGGAAAAGGTAGAGAAGTAGTGAACTCAGGAAGAATTCTTGCAAGTTTTCCCAAATTTAGAGCTTGAGGAAAATATAAGGAACCAAAAAAAAAAAAATATATATATATATATATATATCAGAGTGGTCAATGATTTGAGAAGAAAAAACAAAGAAGAAACTTTAAAAGTCAGAAGGTCCAATTGCCATACCAAAGGCTGCTGAGGTTAAGAGGAAGATCTGACATCAGAATTGGATTTGGCCACACGGAGGTCATAGTGGATTTGGCTATCTACTTTGTATGGTGTGAGAGGAATAAAATACCTATTGGAGTAAATACAGGACAGAGTTAAAGGGGGTCCTAGGATCATACTGGATAAATAATGCTTTACAAAAATCGAAAGTTTTCTTGATTACCCCTTGTAATTTTTAATCTATGTCCTTATAATGGACCCAGAAGCCCTGGGATCCTAAAAGTTGCTAAAGCTTGAATTTATGTGTGCACTAATATGAAAGTCATCATGACACTCATTCTAGGTCACAGATGGCATCAAATGTTTCCACCCAGCCTCAAGAGTCTCCCTGTCAATGTCCAGCAGAAAGCACTAGCTTTTTACATGTTCTCTGCAAGCAAAGATTGTGCATGTCTACTATATTTCCAAAAGTGCCTTGTTTTTAATAAGAACTGTGTATGTTTGTGCATTGTTTATTTAACTGAATTGTCTACAGGAGAGCAAAACTGTGATATCTCATTTACTTGTGTTGAAAATTTTTAAGAGCATCTTATGCTCTTTCTCTAAATTTACAAAATATTATGTTGTTTTGTCATAATTTTCACATATCAGAGGAATGGTTTCTGAAGTATACAAATTTCTGCACTAAAATGTTAATTTTATGCCTTAAGAATTAATCATACAGAACATTTTTAGTTATTTACATTTCAGATACTGCCCCAACGTTGTTGTACTTCAAGCTCACAATAGCATTGAGATCTGCCTGATACTAATACAACAGCTGAAAAATAAAATGGCACAGAAACAAATTAAACCACATGTATGTGAATACCACCAAAAGAAGAGAAAGATAAAATGCATATCAAAAGTCAGAAATACTAACAGAACAGCAAGTTGTTACGGATAAAAGAATGCATGCAAGATGATAAACATCACCTAGCTTGCCACAAAATGAGTATTTCATAGTGTCATAGTGCTTGAAATGTGAACTTAGGGACCCACAATAGCCTCTTACCCACTCTGCTCTGTGAGTAGTTACATAGTCATTAATTATCAGGAACTAAACAGAAAAAAAGCCGTAGCTTCACTGACAAGCCCTGTGGATCCTCTTCTCACACTCCAGGAATGTTTCCAGATTAGACTATGACTCCTAAAATGATTATGTGACTAGATCAAGGCTGGTGAATCAGCTCCAGATTATAAACACTCTACATTTTAAGACCTTATGCATCAGCATCCCAACTTCCTAAGAGATACCATATAGTGGGAATTCTGTTCTTCCTCTGGAATGTATCTGAATAGCTCTCACCTGGAATTCACCTATTTCGTCTACACCAGTCACTCAAAACTCTTTAGCTCTCTTAGTTTGCCTTAGGTCAATATATATGGGGAATGTTCAGTGTCACTGAACATTAAAAAGTTAAAAGTATGAACTCCACTCAGTAAGCATCTTTGCCTGCTTCGGTTACTGATGTATCCCTAATGCCTCGACCAGTACCTGAAATAATTTAAGTGCTCAAAGAATAATATCCAGTTTTTCAAGGCTCCCAAGAGAGCTAGATTAGTGTTTGAAGCAGATGAGTGACAGCACTGTAGAAATGCTTTTCTTTTGGTATAGGTAAAGATCCCTAGCATCCCCAGGTGAAATGTATTTTCCCATTAAAACAATGTTATTAAAAGTGTTCTGAGTCTCTGGTACTAGTGATTAAAGAAATACTCAGCTGAAAAGCAATAGCACCCTATGGCTCTAAATCGCTGGCTGAGAAATTACCATGTGGAATAGAATGCCTTCAAAATTTGGCAACTCAACAGACCATAATATTCCAATTATCACATGACCCTGACAACCAAAGGCAAATGGTGACTAAACAGTCCAACTAAAATGCTTGGTCTTATTACTTTAGCAGCTTGTTTTAGCAGTTTTGAATCTCTGCCATCTTTCTTTGAATAGCAGAAGCCAATTCTACTCAGAAACAGAAAATCTTATTCAAACTCAATAGCATTCTAGAGTCAGAACATCACTCCTAACTTTCTAAGACATGAAATAGTTCTAAGAAAAATAGTTCTAAGAAAAAGACAGGAATACAAGAATAAATACAATGCTCATTCTATTTCTTCTTCATATTCTGGCAGCCTTACATTGATTCCTAGCCAGGTCTTTAAAACTAAAGTCACAGGTAACATTTTGCCTGAAGAAATGCAAGCTAAAGAAAATATTCTTTCCTGAATTATCTGGGCAAATTATTTGGTAGCTGTATTTTACCAAAATATCCCCCATATTGGTAGTTTTATATTAACTCTATGTTAGAATGAGCTGTCCTTGAAACAGAAATATTCCCAATTTAATAATTTATATCTATATATCCTGTATTTTTAGAATTTTTAAATCTAAAAAACACTTTGATTTATGAGTTTAATCAATCAACAAATATGTATTGAATGTTTATACAATGAACTTACTGAAGAATATATGTTGGTGTGGAATGTTTCTGCACCTGTGGTGTTAAGCACTCAGTGGGTCACTTAAGCTGTTTTTGTTTTTGCCCTTTTATAATGTTTTCCGTTTCATTTTCTAAAATTTCTATTATTCATATGTTAACTTGTCAAATACAGATGGATCATATTTTATTATATAGACTAAAACATTTCACATTCATATTTAACTTGTAAGAAATTGCTCTTGGGTATGTAAAATACGGTCAGTTTTCTAATTTTTAAATAACAATAGTTGTAATTCTGGAAGAAGGAAGACCAACCAGAGCTGATAATGTATGTAAGATCTCCAATATCCATGTTCTTAAACTAAAAGAGAAATATTTAAAATAGGAAAGTGTTGTGGCTATTTTTCATTTGCAATAGCTTTAAATTCAAATAGGTAGGATTAGTTGATTAGGAAGCAATTAATGTTTTAAAAAACTCCTCTATATGTCTTCATAAAACATAAAAATTCATTCTTTTAAGTGTGAATAGTTTCTTTCCAAGCTTTACGAATGACAACTCAATTTCATCTTCTGCATTTCATTAACTAAGTTTGACCTAAAGATGACCTAGCTGACATCAAATCTTTCTATTTTGTCGTCTTCCTATTGGGTAATTTGTAGGAGGAAAGTGCATCACGTGCTGCAAAGCACTAATACCCTTTACTCAGTCTTCAGGTCTTTCGTCTTGGGTCTTCTCCACAGGTAAGAGGCCACCTCAACCCAGTGCCAAGAAAGACCTCAACCCACTGCCAAGAAAGACCTCAACCCACTGCCAAGAAAGAACTCAGCCTACTGCCAAGAAAGCATAAGAAAGGTAATCATACCGAAACATCCAGAGAGAATGCCTTTTCACAGCAGTTCCTAATACCACCACCAGAGTTATTTTAGAAGCACATTTTCTTTCTTCTATCTTGAGAGGCAAAACATTTGTCAGGGAGAAAACACTGTGGAAAACCCCTGGACACATTTTTCCACTTCTTTCTTCTTACTGTGATTTCTGTATGTTGCAAGTCCCTTTCTAAAATTGATGCCACTTGGTGGCAAGGCCTCTATCAGATTCACCTCAATAATGTCAATTTTGGTTTTTCTGAAGCTTTTGATAAAAGAGATTTTCCACATTGGCTAAAACTACCCACAAATCAGGCTTTTTTTTTTCTTGAGGCAAAGAAAACTGTGTTTTAAATCACCCCTAAATTATTCATAACATCCTTTTAATAATTTTTTTTAATTATTAGGTGCAATGATGAAGAGTTTTTTCCTAGTTGTGAATATCCTGGCACTAACTTTGCCTTTTTTGGTGAGTTAATTTCATCTATTTAGATTTTAAGAAATTTTTATTTAAAGGCTGTAATTATGTAAATTTCTAAGTACAGGTACACTTCATAAAACAAGGTAACTGTATACTATATTTTCTTAAAAGTAATTTATTTTCTATTTATTTATAAAATGAAAATCATGTCATTCTGGATATACTTAAGTTCTCAAGAATTAAGATTTCACATTTTATCATGTATAGAAAACCTTTAAAACTCATACTACAGAGAAAATTCACTGTAGAGGGAAAACATACTGAACATGTTTTTTAAATTATAAAATGTTCTAAAAATAATTCATAAAGAATAAATAGAGAAATCATAGCCCAGGATCATATATTCTTTTAATTAAATTCCTAGTCCACAGATCCAATCTCTTTAGAGACTGAATTCTTAAAAGGTTAGGAGCTTGGCTACATTTTTCAAACAATATCAAAAACTTTGACATACAAATATTTAACATTCAAACATTGTTTCATTATATTCTTCCCCATTATGTCGACTGCCTGACTCCTTCCCAGGGATCATTTCCATAAATGACTATGATTTTCAGGCATTTTCTTAAATTACATGTTGTTAAGTCTATTAGACCAAGGATAAAGATTTGGTTTTATTTATTTTACTTGTTTTCATTGTCATTTTGGCTATTGCTCTGTTTTATTTTCATGTTCATTTGGGGATCCAGGACACTCGCCTGCCTATAACAAGAAGAGGAAGGCAAACATAGCTGATGTTATATGACCTCCTCTTAAACTGTAAATTTTGGAGGGAACTAGTCCTTGTTTCATAATTCATTTATTATTAAATTTAGACTTGCTTTTTAAGTTAATCTATGTTAAGTAATTCTATTAGATAAATTCTTAGAGGCAAGTTTTTTCAAAGTTTGAATTACTATAACTTTTACATTTGTTTTCTTTCATGTATTCTTTGAAATTCTATTTCATTGTTGCCACCTGACCATTAAGAATTTGAGTTTTCTCTTTGACAGGAATTAAGGTTTAAACCAGAATATTATTCTTTTAGGTTTCTGGACCCAATTCCAGCATGTGTGTTGTGGGGTCAAGGGGACTTCTCACACAACAACAATTCTTAGACAACATTAGAGTGTCCAAGAATTCAACCCAGTTCTGGTACTATCTAACTGGACATGGGATCAGATAACACAGGTTGAAAGCTTAGTCTTAGAAGACCTCCCTTGCCCTTGCCCCTGATTTAAACACCAGCTGCAAGCCCAGGATTTTACTTGTTTTTCTGACCAACCAGCTACAAATTGGGGGTTCCAACAACACCCTCCAACTCAGGATGCCAATTGCAAGCTTAGATTATTACCTGTACTTCTGGCTGATGGACTATAGTCCAGAGGTTCCTAGGATCCCCTGTTTGGGTTTGGTTAATTTGCTAGAGGGGCTCACAGAAAGCAGGAAACCCATGTGATTTACAAAACAGAAAACATTTGACTAGATTACTGGTATATAATAAAAGGATATAACTCAGGAACAGCATATGTAGAGGGCAAGGTATATGGAAGGGACACAGAGCTTCCAGGCCCTCTCCAGGAGAACCATTCTCCCTGCATTTCCCCATGTTTGCCAACCTGAAAGCTCTCTGAACACAACCATTTGGGGTTTTATGGTGGCTTCATTACATAAGGGTGATTGTTTAAACCATTGCCCATTGGCTATTGATTCAACCTCCAGTCCCTCTCCCATCATCAGTGGAAGGTGAGGGTGGGTAGGACTGAAAAAAGTTCCAACCCTCAAATCAAGGGGTTGATTCCCCCCCCCACCATCCTTATGTGGAGTCAGGGAGCCACCACATCAACATAACAAAATACACCTACTTACCCACCACCCTCTCATCACTTAGGAAATTTCTAGAGTATTAGGAGCATTGAGCCAGAAATTGGGATGAAGATGAAATATGTATTTAATATTATGATCTCATCTCAAAAGTTTATAAAACTTTTGCTTTTAAAGTCTTATATATACATCCCTGCGGAAATTGTTTTCTCACTCTTGAATCCCTATTCATGTTACAATCCAGAATTAAGAAAAGTATTACAAAAACAAATGGAATTTAACTTAAAAAACACTATTACTTATATAACATTATAACTGATATGCTAGAGTCAATTTTTCAAATCAAAATAAACATCAAAAATCATCTTGGTAGGAGAACAGAAAAATGAAAATATTTTTATTCCTCATCACTATATTTAACAATGTACATTCAATATAAACTGAATATAGGTTATTCCTAATTTTCATCTAAACAAATATTATATACATTTGTTGGCACAGGGATCAGATAATCATATTATTTTTAACCTTCAATTTTTCTCCCTACAAGGTGATTTTTAAAGACAGTTTAACCACAGAGTTCATTATTACTCCTTTGATTACTATATTAGTATATTGTCACATCTTGGGTGGCTCATAGGTCTTAAAGATTAAGTAACCATTTAATATTTTACAATATTAAGCAAAGAAATTAAAAACAAAGAAAATGTGTTTGTCTTTTATGCAAAAGATATTTTTTAAACCACACAAAAAAATCTAGAATCTGCTTTGCTTTTCTTTAACTTCTTCTTTCTTATTACGTCTATGAACCTCACCAGGGTGCAGAGGTACCAAGCCAGGAACAACCAGCAGTAAGTTAATTTTATTATTTTTAGTAGAGACATGAACTACCAAGTTCAATGATATTTTAATGTCTTTTGTCTAAAAACTAAATTAATTTTTAAACTCCAAAAATAATCTAATAATCTTTGCAGAAAACATCACTTTGGCAACCAACAGTATGAATCAACCTCAATGGTCATCTAAAAGTCTTGGTTTTATTTTATAACTCAAACCGTGTAATTTGGGTTTTCATGTATGTTTAAGAACATGAGAAAACTGTCCCAGAATTTACTATTAGGAAAAAAATGAAAACAGAAGCAAAGTTTAATATCTTTCCTGCCTAGTTTTTAAGATCTGGGGAAAGATCCCTCTCTGACCCACCTTGAGTACTTCTCATACACTTGTATTTACTTCCTCTTTTTGTTTCCCAAATATGTTTGAATGAATATATTTAAATGGCTCCTTTCATGAGAAATTCTTTCTTTGCAGTATAATTTTGTTGATTTGTTTCTATTACTGTGGAAAGATCTAGTGACATATTTTTATGACTTTATATAATAAGTAGAACAAAGACAAATAAAAACAGAAAATGCCCTAACCAACATTTAATGGAATTAATTAAGCTGAAAAAAAATCTGAAGTATACATCCAGAAATCCTCCTACATCACATTATTTCATTATTCTGCTATAATTTGTTTAGGAAAAAAGACAAATGTGGCTCAGCCTAATCTCTAGATAAATAAAACTTGTAAACAATTACAAATATGTGGTTGAGGACACACACACACACACACATATGAAAATATGTATATACATACATATTTCTCTGTGTATGGTATGTTTGTGTATAATATATCAAAGCTCCCTGTGAGATTTTTGTCTAGCTGTTGTATTTATTACAATGCCCAACATTTACTGAGCACCTTGCATGTATGCCAAGCTCTAGGCAATGTGATTTACCTCACCTAATTGTTTCAAACTAATATTTCTCTTTAATATTCTCTTTAATAAGATTTCAAACTAATATTCTCTTTAATATTTGTTGAAATCAAAAATTGGAAGGGCAGTATATAAATCCATATATTTTAAAATAATACTTGCTGAGTTCACTACTTCCAATATTATACTCAATGTCAAATACTATAACATATTATTTCAAAAAATCTGATTTTATATATACATCCCAACCTACAATAATGCATTGTATAATTTATTCTTTTTGTAGTGCCGTGAGAATGATGAAAGATTACTCAATCAGAAAACAGTCGAGTATATCCCAGTTCATTATGTGCTGAATAGCTTGAATAGCTCTCCTTTTTATGAACACAATTACTACCGATATAGACCAGCTGTACTAGTTAGTAATCAAAATATGCCTTATCCATATTATGGAAAACCAGCTGCACTTAGGGTACTCACCCAAATTCCTCAATGGCCAATCCTGCCAATTATCTACACACCCACTGTGGTACATCACCCACACCCACAGTCATCACTTATTGCCATTCCCCCAAAGAAAATTCAGGATAAAACAGTCATCCCTACCATCAACACTATTGCTACTGTTGAGCCTACACTTATTCCTCCCATTGAACCCACCGTGGACTCTGCAGTCACTCCAGAAGCTTTGTCAGAATTCACCGTCACAAGCACACCTGAGACTACAACAGTTGCAGGCACTTCATTCATCGTCTAAAACCTCTAAGGAAACATCAAAGACAACACAGGTAAATGAGCAAAACACACAAGAAAAGCAATACAGACAAGATTCCTGCATTTATCAGTATAATCATAAATCTAAAATACTTTAAACAGGTAAATCTCTTAAAGGAGCAGGCACAAATGGGCTAATTATAATTTTAGTTTGGTGGTGTCATAGCCTTGATACAATAGATTCTAGGAATCTAACAAGAAATTAAAACAAATCTTATTTTATAAAATGAAGAAAAACTGGGGATTTTGTTATCAAACTTTTTTCAACAATTAGAGCACTCCTCAAATCTAGTAGTTTCATTTCATTCCTATTCACACACAAAGACAGTAGGGCAAAATATTTTGTTGAACTTGTGATTTTTCTTATCTCAAAAATGAATTCTTTAACAATTTACATAGGATCTGAGTTTAAATATATTTTAATCATTCAACAGTGTTCCTGAACTCTAATTTTAGGTGGATTGAGTGAAAGGGTATTATGTTTTCCATGCATTTCTTTATTTCAGACATCATTTCTGCAAGGGTCCCTGAAGTCAGGCACCCTAAATTTCTCCTATGCTAAGATGAAATCATGGAAGAATTATAATTCTTAACTTGAAAAGCACATACATATTAAAAGGATACTTTCAAACCCTTAAATGTAATGCAAAATGTTTCTGTTTTTTAATTTGGATCAATGATTGTCTAAGGTAATTTCAAATTTATGGGAAGAAGTTAAATAAAAAGACAGATTAATAAATAGAAAACAACCAAAGAATATGAAATAATTTTGGAAGAGATTTACAAAATTCAGAGTTTCTTCATAACAAATATTTTCAGAGCATTACAGTATCTATGTGTTATATGATCTAAAATACAACACTGATCTGTGACATAATAGGAATCACATTAGAGCAGAGAAGGCTGCTTCTTCCATCTGTGTGACCTTAGGCAAGTCATTATTCTCTCTGAACTTTCATTTTCTCTTAAAAGAAAGTTTCTGTGGGGGTCAAGTGATAATGCATATTGTGAAAAAAATTATAAAAATTGAGCAGTCTGTTAAATACAATGCATTATAAAAGATAAAATTAATAAATACTAAAATTTACTTAAGTTTATTCTGTCCTTACTAAATGATTAAAAACTATACATGATTATCTCAATTCATTCCTATAGCAAATATATGGAACAGATTATATTACAATTTTGAATTCATGATTGGAAAAAAAATAGGCCTTTGGATGTTAAGTTGCAACAGCTAGAAAGTTCAAAACTGTGAACCAAACCAAACCTGTTTGATTTCAGAGAGTAAGGTTTAGTTGCCATCTATTTTCATACAGGCCATCTAATTTGCAGAAAAACAGAAAATACACTATGGTTTCTTAGATCAAATTATGTGTAAATTGTGTTATTTAATTGCCATTTAATAGGACATCTGGTAGGAAAAAGAATGCAACATGTTTGATAAATTTTTGACTTATTAAAATTTAGAAAACAAAATGAGAACAGTAATAGAGACAACAAGAAAGCAAGTAATTTAGTACTAGTTATATTTTATTTACTCAAAATATACTATTTCATGATTATGTTTTTAATGAAATAGTCATTATTTCAATAGTTACATTTGTTCAAAACTCATGAACCTAGTTTTCTAAGTTAAAACTGCTAAATAATATCACTTATAAGAAGATGTAAAGGACACTGTCTTTCTGTAAATATTAGGTGAAGTAAATTATTTTTAGTCACTCTATGCCAATTTCAAATATTTAAATATAAGGATTTAATTTGATAAATCCTTGGATACAGACTTAAGAGACAAATCATAGAAGCTAAAAAAGTCTAATATGTGAATGATTAACACATTATGAAATAAATTCCTAAATTCATCATTTTTTATAGGTCTTGCTGAAACCAAACAACTAATTCAAACTTCTTTGGCCATCGGTCTACCTTCATCAAGAGAGAATGTGATTTTCACAGATTTGGCTCCTTTCTCTTCTGCCCTTAAATTTTACATTAATGCCACATTTAAGTGTTCTGATTCTTGCTCAATAAAACCAATTGAATGCAACTGGATCTCTTAACTTAAAGACTCTGTGGTTAATACGCCCCACAGATCTTTGAAATCTTGAGATTCTAAGGCAAGTTTAGTGTGAGTCTGCATACACAAGTTTATCTGGGGGCAAAGTCCTTAATTTGATCTCATTCTCAAAGTGGTCAATGGTCTAACACTGATTAAGAACATCTTCTCCAAGATGACACTGGAGCCTCTAAATTAACAAGTCATCGGGACCAGAGAAGAACTAAGCGATGATGCTCCAATCCCAGGGACCACAGAGTGACTTTTGGGAGCCCTGGGAACTCTAGTGTTTGCATTAAATTTAAGTAGTCAAATGTATTTCTAAGTAGATCACTTCCAAGAGCAAATTCTGGGCACAGTCAGGCTACAAATGACCACAGCTACAAACACAGGCACATGGTAGAAATACAGAAGCTGACCGAGACTCTAGACCTGTATGGATCATTTCTGCCATACTGGAAGCTACAGTCTCACATTTGTCAAACACACACAAACACACACACACACGCACACACACACATACATGTACCAGGAAGCTTCTGGAATTGAGGTCCTCTGGTCTACCAAAATTGGTGAATACTCAAAGTCCAAGAATATGACATAGCTTTTCCCTTAAACAAATATGGCAAGGAAAATGAGTAATTTATATGCTTGCTCCATATTTAACACATCATGACAAAAAAAATACAAATCACTCACCTTTACAAAGTACTTACTGGCCACCCATTTAATCTTTTGTTGAAACCTTTAGCAGATGTGTTATTACTCGGAGTGTTTTATAGACTTTTACGTGCTTTATCATTCAAATGCTAGAGTTTGAAAGAGAGGCATAGCCAGGGGCATGACATGGCTAGGCCTCATTTGCTTTGACCATTAATAATAATATTAATTTTATGGAAAACAAAGTAAAATATGGGAAAGGTATCATTTATTTCAGTATTAACAAAATATTTATCACCTATTTTATAAAAGTTACTCGAAGAATGATTGTGGGACACAAAAAATAGTATTTAATAATAATAAACAACCAACACCTATGCAGTATATACTATAAGCCAGTCAATCTTCCATTTATATGTATTTACTGATTTAATATGTACCCATGGGCTACATATTGTTGCTGTTGCTATTACTATGAAAGACAAATGAAGCAATTTTCACCAAGAGGGGCTGAAATTTGAACCCATATAGTTCTTCTTTAAAGTCCATGTTCTTAATCATGTGAACACTACTATAAAAGCATTTCCAGTGTGGTAGGTAAAATAAAACATGAAGCAAAATACTTTGAAACAATGAAAATATTATTTATTAATATTGACTCATATTAATATAATATCTAAATGACATTAATAATGAGGTGTTAAACTAAGATATTAAATTAATAATAATATACAACCAACCTGATATGATGTTACTCCATCTTTGTACTTGCAATATCAGTTCAAGTATTTTGCATACCTAATATTTCATAGTAAACCCTTCAACTACTTATGTACATGTTAAGAAAATATATTAATGAGTTGGTTATTTGGGATTTGGATAAATTACTTTCAGAGGCAAAGGTCCATCCAAGTGGAGTCGGTTTGTAACTAATGAGAAATCAAGTCTTTAGCACACAAAAAACAGTCTGATCTGGAGATTTACATATAATCATTTATCAATTATTTGCCAAATACCCACTATGTGAATATAGCAAGTTTCTTCCCCACCTCTAGGACTTCATAGTCTAATGAGATTTTGAAAAACATTTTATATTCAGTCCTGCAAACAGCCTTATCTGAAAGTTCTCAGATCTCCCAGAATGTAGTGATGACTTACTATAATGAGCATTTACATAGCACTTTAAAAATGTATAAATGTTTTTGCATATGCTAACCTCTTAATCTTCACCAATAACCTCTTGAAATACTTTGTTATTGCCCCTCATTTTGTACATGTGAAAACAACTTCAAAATAGTTAAACATAAAATAGCAAAAATTTATGGGCTTTGAATTTGCATAGAACTCAATTGAAATTTTAGCTCATCACTTAATTTTGTGGCCTTGAGCAAGAAAGAGAATGAAAACTAATGTTTTTTATTTATTGATGTATGTGTTAGGCTATGTAACAAGAACTTTAAGGTATTAATTTATTCCACATAATACTCTAGTACTATTAGTGTGCTTATATATAATGAGGAAGGTGAGACCAGACAGATTAAGCGATTTGCCCAAGATCATAAAGCAGTTTACTAAGTGGTAGAGTTTAGCTTTGAACCCTAGCAGTTCAATTCATCAGCCTTCATTGTCTTACTATGTACCAGGCAACCTTTAATATGAGATATTCTTTAACATACCCTGTATTAACTGGGCATTCAGTACATGTTTGATCCTTTATTCCTAAATTCCCAAGAAACATTTCAGAGAATATCCACTGTCTGCAAGATAAAGTCAGCTTTCATGATCTTGCTATTTACCTTCCCACATTCTCTCTTTCCATTAGAGCATTATGCCATATGCCCCAGTGCCCCAAACCTCATACAGTTGACTGCTTTAGCTACACCATCACCATCACCAGCACTTTTCTGAAGCTGCTCAAGTCCTTTTGATAATTCACATCACATAATCAAAATTTGACTCTTTGGCTTAGATATCAAAGTCTTAAGAAAATCCTTTCTGAAACTTTCAAGATCAAGTGTTCTGTCAGTGTGCTACCACAACATCCTGCTCCTGGCAGTTCCTTCCCCTCCAGTACTCATCAATTTCTGTGCACCTGCCCATCCACCTCACCGGCTGGGCCATAAGCCCTCTTGGCATAGGAGCTATATTCTCCTCACTACTCGTTCTCCAAGGTCAGGACTAATACAGTGTAGGAACTAAATAAATATTTCTTAAAAGAGTAAGTAAAGGAATAAGTGGGTTGTTAATGTCTGAAGTTGAAATACCCATTTAATTGGATTAATTTAACCTAGACTTTTCTTATCAAAATCCAGAGAAGAAAAAATGTTGACCTTAGTTAATTAGTTTTCATGGATCAAGCTACCAAAGTCAGTGATAGACTGTTAGACCAATTTCAAATGCAACAGAAAATTGCTACAAATCATATTATCAATCACAGAAGTAGAAAAATATAAAGGGAGAATGTTTTTATAACTTAATCTCAATTTTCAAGGGAAGAAAGCTGAATGTCAACAGAATGACCAAATTACTGTATCAATATTATGTATTATCTTAACTCCAGCACACTACTTAGAAGAAGAGGATGATAGCATGTCCTCCTCCTTGTCTCCCTAATATGATTCACTTTAGTTGTGGCCAGATGCCCATATTATTGAAACCATGGCTATAAAGCTAATACAAAACAGACTTGAAAAATCAAGTATATTCTTTTTATGTGTATAGAAAGAATTATTTTTATACATATAAATTCTTTTACCTGTATTTTACTGGAATATGCTTAGAAATCCCAGAAGCTCTTACAGGCAAGTTTAAACTCTTAAATATTCCTATAGAATTAATATTTTTCACTAACATAATTGTTTTCCATAATTAAAAACCATTTTTTTGAATCACTCATCACAAAATACCTACAACCTCTATTATGATGGTTAAGACAAAGACCTTAGAAGAGTAAAATCTTGATGTACTTCTTGCCATTGAAACAATCAATTTTAAACTAATGATTTCAAGTAATAGTACAAATAACAAAAATTTTATAAGGAATCAAATTATTCTTTTTTTTCCTAAAATGTAACAGTGAAATATGTTATTTCCACAAGAATCCAGCAATCAGCTGATTTTGTCAACAGACTGGCTTTCTTTTAATCAGTATTAACCCTTGCCGATAGTAATCATATTAAAGTTTTCTTGGTCTCTCCCCAATAGGAAATAAGTAGGAGGGACATCCAGGTATGAAGGGCTTATTTATTCAAAGTGCGCTCACTATATTTCATTTGGAGACAACAACTACAGAGAAGAGTCAGCTTGGTTAATAGAAGATAAAACCCAACCAGAACACAGAGGACAAGCCCCCTTTTAAGGTATCTACACAGATAAGAGTTTGGAACATAGATTCTTCATTAGGCTCTGGGCTTTCACAGTTTGGACATAAATGCAATAGCTAAATAAATTGATAATTAAAATAATCTTCTGATTTAGACAAATTGAACTTGTTTCTAACACTACTGTACTGATTACTAATGGGAACTGGTCATACCTACTCAAAGGCTAGAGTCTCACTTGCACTATGTCTGCAGTTTAATAAAAGCTGTTCCTATGAATTACTCAAGTTTCATGGCTGAATAGTGAGTGACCTTTGATAAAATGCAATTTAAGTAAAATATCATAAAGCAAACTTGACTCTGTTGAGTAAAAAACTGCTCTAAGACGAATGCTTCATTTTGCCTAAGGCACTTCCTGGTGATAAAGAGGGTGCCAACTTCAGTGTTTCTTAAACCTTTCCAGGCCTCCATGAAAGCACTGGCTTTAACATCCTAAAAGTATGAATCATAATTTTTTTAATAAAAACTTTTAAAAATAAATTTTACTTATATAATACTTCTATTTAAAGAAGTATTAAGCTGTTAACACCAATTACTCTAAAATACTTTTATGTTATTAGAGTTTTATAAAGAGTGCAGAAAGCTCTTGGGTAACAACAAATTATTTAGTGATAGTATGGCATCCTGAGAAATCTTAATAACAAAATTTACTAAAATGAATATGAATTTGAATAACCTATATATCACTACACTATTAAAGATGGGTTCTTTTTATTCTTTTTGTTTTCCTTACAGAGTCCAAGAAGAAAAGATGAAGGTCCTCATCTTATCTATGTTCATCTTGAACTTCACTACATTCTTCTTGGTAAGTTTTCAACACTCTTCCACAGGTAATTTTCTTCTCATTTAGAAAAAGAAACATATTTTCATATCAATTATGTACCACAAAAATACCATAGAGTAATATATCGTTGTGTTTATCACCAGGATAATGTATGCTTTGTTGTTTTA